CGCCTCCCTCCCCCATCTCACAGGGCCCCCGCTCCTCCCCTCCCCCTCCTCTCCCTGCACCTCCTTCCCTGCCCCCTCACTGCTTCACTGACCCCTTTCTCTTCCCCTCCCCACACCCCACCAAGCCCCCATACCCTTCTCTCCCCCACATCCCTCCTCCCACTGCCTCCTTCCCCTCCCCCACATCTCTTCCCCTCCCCCTACATCCCTCCCATTGCCTCCTTCCCCTCCCCATACCACCCTCTTCCCCTCCCCCATGTCCCTCCCCCACCTCCTTCCCCTCCCCCCACATCCCCCCCAGCCCCATCAACAGCCCATCACCCGCCCACCTTCTGCTCCACTGAATCCCACTCCCTGCCATGCCCCCATAACTCAGTGGATCCCTCAGAGGCCAGTGCCCTCAAAGCCCCTCCCCCCTGCCCTCCCCACGCACATGGGGCTCCTGTTTCGGTCCATGGTCCGGCAGGGATGTTTGGGGTCCCGCCTCGCTCCTTTGCCGGCCGCCAACACTATCTTGAGCTGGGACACCCGGCTAGGGGGCAGAGAGAGGGGGGTTAATGCCGCTGGTCCCGCTTCCCGGGGACCCGGGTGCCTCGCTGCCCTCTGCCCCACAGAGCCTGTGCCCCCCGCACAGGTTAGCTCCAGGCATGACCCCCCAGCAGCCCCCTGGGGCGCCCAGCCCTGGCACCGGATTCGCGGCACCGTGACGAACCCCACGATCGAGGCCGGGGTCTAATCAAGAAAACCTGCGTCGGGCCGGGCAGCAGGATCCCTGCGAAACACCCGAGCGAGGAGTGAGAAATTTCTGTCATGGGTCCATGCCTCAGTTTCCCCTGTCTTTCGATGGGCTGCCTGGAGGGGCTAGGGGGGAAGGTTTACGTTTCCCACTGTGAGCTGGTGGGTCTGTGGGGAGCTGCAGGGTGGTCTGAAGGCCGGAAGAGGGGGTTCGGGCTGGGATTGTTTGATGATCCCCGGGGTGGGTTTCGGGGGGTGGCAGGTGGCAGCGAGGGGTGTGGGGTTGGCGGGGGGTTATTTCTGTACTGAAGCAGGTTATCTCGGGCGGTTGGGGGGGCCCGTTCCAGGAGGGGATCGATTTCTCCGGGGCAGTGTCTTCGAGCGGCGAAGGCGGCGTTAAGGGGTACGTCCCGCGGAGCCTGTTCTGGGGGCTCGGAGCACCTGGCTGTCGAGCACAGATTTCCTGGGGATGGGGCACCAGGGACCCCCGGTGACCAGCACCCCACACAGACCAGCTCACAGCTCTGACTTTCATGGGGTCTCCCCCGGCCTGTCTGGAGAAGCCTGGATCGGGGCTCGCCACTTCGGGGTGGCCTTTGCCGACAGGGCTTGTGAGCGTAACTCACCAGATGCCCCCCCACACACAGGCGAGTCCTGGCCCCGGCCCCCCTGCTCTAACCACCAGCCCCCACTCCCCTCCCAGAGCCAGGGAGAGAAACCAGAAGTCCTGGCTCCCAGCCCCCCCTGCTCTAACCCGACCAGCCCCCACTCCCCTCCCAGAGCCGGGGAGAGAACCCAGGAGTCCTGGCTCCCAGCCCCCCGCTTACTCACCTCTGAAGCCTCCACAGCACAGAGATGCTGAAGATGATGCTCACATAGAGCACCAGCGCCCAGCTCCATCTCCGCCGCATCCTCGGGGGGCCCATCTTGGCGCTCGCTGTGGGGAGAGCAGGGCAGGTGAGAGACGTTCACACACGATGGGGGAATCCACCGGGCACGGCCCCCCTGGGGTGCCCCTCCTCCGCCCTGGCCTCCTGGATATCACAGGCTGGGAGCCAGGACTCCTGGGTTCTCTCATCGGCTCTGGGAGGGGAGCGGGGGCTGGTGGTTAGAGGAGGGGGGTCTGGGAGCCAGGACTCCAGGGTTCTCTCCAGCTCTGGGAGGGGAGTGGGGCTAGTGGTTAGAGCAGGGGAGTAGCTGGGAGCCAGGACTCCTGGGTTCTCTCCCCAGCTCTGGGAGGGGAGTGGGGGCTGGTGGTTAGAGCAGGGGGAGCTGGGAGCCAGGACTCCTGGCCTTCGGAGCTGGAGATGAGGGGTCGATTTGGCTCCGCGACGGGAGTTCACCTCGCTGGGCAGGTGGAAATCCAGGGTTTCGCGGCAGGAGCCAATGCAGGGCCGGGGGGCAGAGGGGCGGAGGTCGGGGGGCTACCCTGGAATAGGATTCCCTTCACTGGGGAGGTCGGTCCAAGGGCTGGGGAAACTGCAGCCTATTTATAATGGGAAGGTGGCCCGTCTCCGGCGCGTTGGGACCCGGGAGGTGTCCCCCATGCAGGTCCTTAGACCCAGGGCTCCCATCCCCTCTCCCTCTTCCGGCCGCCAAGCTCACCTGCCCGTGCCTCGCCGCGACCTGTCTCCCTGGCCCCCGTGGCCTCGCCTCTGCCCCCCGCTAAGATTTCCCTACCCGCGTGGGACTGCGGGGCCCGATCCGGCGAGAAAAATCACCTCCCAGCTCCTCCCGGGGAGCCCCCCCCGTCCCTCCCCCCCCAGTTTGTACAGTGGAACAGGATGTCCCGGCCCAGAAAGCCGCAGCGAACAAAACAGCTCAGGAAAGGGCTGGGCTGCAGGAGAGCGGAAAAGGTCCCCCCGGGGGATTCAGAGCTGCATAGGGCGGCGGGGAGATGTGTGTGTGTCACCCTTTAAGGGACTGGGCTCCGGACCCCATCGGCTGCACCCCATCCGGAGCAGCTCTCCGCGGGGGCTGCTCCGGCACTGGAGGGAGGGAGCCGGGGGGCAAGGCGCCCCTCAAATGCCAGCGGTTGTGGGCTCCCGCCCAGTTTAAGAGGTCACTTGGACTCGGCCACCCACCCTCCACTAGGATCAGGGTGGATTTTGTGTTTTTCCCGGGTCACAAAGTAAAACATTAGAGAGACAAGACTTGAGCGGAGGGCTCCCACCTGAACACTACACCCCACTCCCCTCCCAGAGCCGGGGAGAGAACCCAGAAGTCCTGGCTCCCTGCCCCCCTGCGCTAATGCCTGTGGGCTATTTTGACCAGAAATGAATAAATTTATATCTGTATGTCATGAGTTTCCACCCACACCCACACACTCACTTTTGGCAGAACTGTGTCTTTTTTTGGTTTAGTTTCTGGCCAGTAGCGTTTTGGGACTTTCTTGTTCTTTTTGCCACAAAGTTTCCAGTCTTGAGCATTCATTTTCTCCCCTCTCGGCTGGAGCAAGTGTGGGGGGGGGCAGCACTGTGGCCTGATGCCCTCCCCTTCCGCCTGCGGGCACCACCCCCATTTGGCCCCAGCCCTGTCCCTGGTCCACCCACAGCCCCGCCCCTTTAAGCTTCTCTAACCTTGGGGTGACGTTTTTTTCGTGGGTCCCCAAATTGGCAGCGATCAGCTTCCAGACCTGGGTCTGTTGTGGGGCGTATTCGCACAGGAGCTAGCCCGGGCATTGGAAGAACCGGGCGGGGGGAGGATCTCAGCCCGCTTGCCGAAGGGACGTCCTTTTGCGCAGCCAGGGCATTTGAGAAGACACCGTTGGTTCAGCGCGACCCTCAGGCTGGATGGGACACATAGAATATCAGGGTTGGAAGGGACCTCAGGAGGTCATCTAGTCCAACCCCCTGCTCAAAGCAGGACCAATCCCCAGACAGATTTTTGCCCCAGATCCGTAAATGGCCCCCTCAAGGATTGAACTCACAATCCTGGGTTTAGCAGGCCAATGCTCAAACCACCGAGCTATCCCTCCCCGTCCTCTCTTATCGAAGGGCAGCCGGTGAAGCCTGAGTCATGCGTCAAGTGTGAGCCGCCGAAAGACGTTATGCAAACAGCCGAGGGGGCCAGAGGGCCAGATAAGAAAGCACACGAGGAAACTGGGAAACCAAATCCGATAGTGAAAGAAATGTGACCTCTTAGCCCTGTGTCCATGGCATAGGCGTGCGCAGGGGGTGTGCCAGGTGTGCCCGTGCACACTCTAATGCAGGGCAGTCAGAGCTGTGGGGGTCGGGGCTGCGTGCTCCCTCGCGGCTGTGTGTATGGCTCCGCGCTGAGCCAGACGCTGCTAGGAGACTGAGGGGGGTTGGCATAGGTGTGCGCAGCACATTTCATTAGGGTGTGCAGCCAGGGAGCCCCACCCTAACCCCGCCCCCATCCATTCCCTCCTACTTCCCGCCCCTGACTGCCCCCCTCAGAACCCCCAACCCCCCCTGCTCCTTGTCCCCTGACTGCCCCCTCCTGAGACCCTCCCCACTGTAACTGCCTTCCTAGGACCCTACCCCCTACCTGTCCCCTGACTGCCCAGACCCCTGCCCCTAGACAGACCCCCAGGACTCCCATTGGAACCCCGGCCAATGGGAGCTGGAGGGGGCGGTGCTAGAGCTCCCTGACCACGCCTCCCCAGCAGGGAGGGGGAGGGAGCTGCTCCAGCTCCTCTTGCTCACCCTGCCACCCCCCAGGGCTGAGCCGCCTGGGACCAATGCAGGGGCTGGGTCATTCTCGGCCAGCATGCGGGGAGGGCTCGCCTGGGCCCCAGGCAAGGGGGTTATGTGGGGGGCAGGCCCCCTCCCCCTCTGATTCCCCCACCAACCCCAGCTGTGACGCTGGCTCAGACAGGCACGGCAAATAGCCCCCGCCCAGCAGGCCGGTGAGTGTGGCTGGGGGGCAGGCAGGCGGGGGCGCCGGGTCTCTGGGGATGGCGCTGGGCAGTGGGGGTCTGTGTGGGCTACTCCTGGGCCCCAGGGGCAATGAAAACAGCCCAGGCCCCCCTCCTGCAGCGTTCTATGCTTCCCTGCAGAAAGTGAAGGAGAAACAGGGGTGTGTGATTGGGAATGTTCGTGGCCTAGTTTGGGGGCATTACCCCCCAAATAGAGGTGAGGGGTGGGGGGGCCACATGGGGTGCAAGGTCACGCCACTGCCCCCCCCCCCATTTCTGTGAACACAGAGTTGCTGCAGCCCCGCTGGAAAGAGAAAGTGCTGCTCAGGTTCCTGGACACACACCACCTTCTGGGTCCTAGGGCTGGTTGAGCTCCCTCCTGTGTGCTGGGAGCCATCCTTCATCTTGTACAACAGTGAGTTGTGGGGCAGGGCAGGGGGGAAGAAGGGGGTGGGATGGGGAGGAGATGGAGCGGTGGGGAAGGGGCATGGGATGGGGAAGAGAAGGGGATAGGGGAAGTGGGGGCCCAGCGTGCAGATCCCCTTGGCAGCAGCTGGGGCTCCCCTGTTAAGCAGGCCTCTCAAACCCTCACTCTGACAAGTCCCACCTCCCCTGCATCTGTACCACCCTGATGAGCCCCCCCCAGACACCCTCCCCACTGAGCCCCAACCACCTACACCCAGACCCCCACCCAAATGAACCCCACCTCCCCTGCACCCAGCCCCCCTCCCTGCTGAGTTCCAACCACTTTCACTTGGTCCCCCCTGCAGACTCCCATTACCCCTGCACCTGGAATCTCCCTGTACATCCAGATCCCCCACTGAGCTGCCTGCACCCAGACTGCCCCACACAGAACCCTCTTACCCCCCCCCGCCAATCACCGCCTCCCCAGCGCTACACATGACTTTTGTTGACTTACGTCAGTCATAGCGCTCTTCCACCACTGCGCTCCAGCTTGGTTGGTGCTGTCTGCGCCCGCCCTGTAAGTGCCATCACGCCATTCGTCAAGGGGATGTCCAGGGGGTGGGATTTGGTGGGGACTCTGTTCTGAGCTATGACGTGGTAAGGGGGCTGGGCCAGGCGGGTTGGATATGGGCCAGAGGGTCTCGGGGGCAGTCAGGGGACGGGGAGTGGTTGGATAGGCATGGGAGTCCTGGGGGTCTGTCTAGGGGCAGGGGTGTGGTTTAAGGGTCGGGGCAGTCAGGGAACAGGTAGGGGGTAGGGTCCTAGGAAGGCAGTTACAGTGTGGGGGGGGTCTCAGGAGGGGGCAGTCAGGGGACAAGGAGCAGGGCGGGTTGGGAGTTCTGAGGGGGGCAGTCGGGGGTGGGAAGTAGGAGGGAGTGGATAGGGGCGGGGCTAGGGCAGGGTGGGGGCGGGGCTAGGGTGGGGCTCCCTGGGTGCACACCCTAATGAAATGTGTTGCGCACGCCTATGCCTGTGTCTATGCTGTGCTAGTGTCCAATTACTGACTGAATGACTGTATATATTTTTACAGTCGTTTAAGGCCTTGTCCGGCGGGGTTTTGTTTGAAGGACTTCATTTATTTTGCATTTATTTCTGTTGGCATCTGCTGGCTTTAGTTTAGCTTGCTGTGAAGGTCGTCTGAGCAAGAATATACCAACCAACTAATAGCTGGACTGCAAAGTTTTTTCAAACGGACGCTTGCTACACCAAAAATGAACACGCGGTTGTATTTGCTAAACCGGTTTCCTTTTCCCTTAGGTGTCTATAAAAACGATTTAGTTTGGAATAGGTCTCTGGTTCTGCCCACTGACTGGCTGCTTAAACCAGCGGTTCTTAACAGTGGCCCTCAGAGATCTCCAACCAAGCGATTTTTTGACATTGGTGACTGACGCAGCAAGCCCGGAGGTGCCGGGGCGAGGATCTGCCACCCTGGCACCCATTAAACGCTGGCTGGTTGGATTAGAAACAGCCGATGTGGGCAGCATGCGCAGAGGGCCCCGGCACCGGAGCGTGCAGCTGAACGGGAGGGCATGGCCGAGGGGAAAACACTCCCTCCACGCGCAGGGAAAGCCAAAGAAGCAAACAGCCTGTTTAGAACCACTAAGAAAGGGATAGATAATAGGACAGAAAATATCATATTGCCTCTATATAAATCCATGGTACGCCCACACCTTGAATACTGCGTGCAGATGTGGTCGCCCCATCTCAAAAAAGATCTATTGGAATTGGAAAAGGTTCAGAAAAGGGCAACAGAAATGATGAGGGGTATGGAACAGCTTCCGTATGAGGAGAGATTAATAAGTCTGCGACTTCTCAGCTTGGAAAAGAGACGGCTAAGGGGGGATATGAGAGAGGTCTATAAAAATCATGACTGGTGTGGAGAAAGTAAATAAGGAAGTGTTATTTACTCCTTCTCATAACACAAGAACTAGGGGTCACCAAATGAAATGAATAGGCAGCAGGTTTAAAACAAACCAAAGGAAGTATTTCTTCACACAACGCACAGTCAACCTGTGGAACTCCTTGCCAGAGGATGTTGTGAAGGCCAAGACCATAACAGGGTTAAAAAAAAAGAGCTAGATAAGTTCATGGAGGACAGGTCCATCAATGGCTATTAACCAGGATGGGCAGGGATGGTGTCCCTAGCCCAGGCCTGCACAACTCGTAAAGCGGCGAGGGCCATATTACTCCAAAGAAAATAGCTGAGGGCCGAAACCCCCCGGCCGTGCTGAAACACCCCCCCCCCCCCCCCCCCCCCCCCCCCCCCCGCCGCCCACCCCCCCCTCCAGCGCCGCCCAGCCCCCGTGTAAGCAAGCAGGACTCACCCCGGCAGCGCCTCCTGCTGGTCTTCTCGGGAATTAGCTCATCCAGCTGTTGGAGCGACCTCTGCAGGCTGGTGTCCTACTGCCGCTGGCTCTGTGTCCCTCCTGGACCCCGGTGCCCTTTGATCTGGGGTGCTGCCCCCTGGCAATACCCCCACACTCTGGCTCTTGATCTCCTCTCGCTGGGGAATCCCCAATCCTCTAATCCCCACCTCACCTCAGTATAAGGCTACTGCCAGTCACTAACTAGCCCCCGCGCCCTGGGGCTGACTGCAGTATATCAGCCACTCATCACAGGCAAGGTTGGGTTTGGACCTGCTGCCTCCCTCTATAGCTGGGCTGCCCCTCTGCAGCCCTGGTACTGGTCTTAGGCCCTTAGCTAGGTCCGCAGCTTGGGGGTTTTCCAGGCTGGAGTTCCCCAGCTCCTCTAGCCTTCCCCAGCCCTGCTCCACTCCCAGTACCCTGTTCAGCTCCCTAGCAGCCAGACCCTTCTCTCTCTACAAGCAGAGAGAGACTGGCTCTGGGCCTCTGGCTCACAGCCTTTTTATACAGGCCAGCTGGGGCCTGATTGTGGCATGGCCCAGCTGCAGCAGCTTCCCCAATCAGCTCAGCTTTTCCCCTGCCACAGCCCTCCCCCAAGGCTGTTTTAAGCCCTTCAGGGCAGGAGCGGGGTAACCACCCTGCTACACCCCCCGAAACACATCCCCCACCCTAGCGCCACTCGCACTGCGGAAACAAACCCTCCTTCCCCAGCGCCGCCCCGCCGAAACAGTTGTGGGCCGAAAAGGAAGGGTTTTTTTTGGTGGGGGGCGGGGAAGAGGGTGTGATACTTTATTAAGAATTTTTCAATTAAAGCAAACAATTTTTTAAATTTTAATTTTTTTTATGAATCATGGAAAAATGAAAAACACCTGTTCCGTTGAAAGAAAACATTTGTACTTTTCATAATTATCTTGCAAATGTAATGAGAGATATTACATCTCTTTTCGGCAACAAGCTTGTCGTATTCGGGGGTCATATTTGAAGTGGATATTTTCATAATGTCTTCCAAATGGTCGTCAGTCAGAGAAGAACGTTGCTTGTTTTTATTCATGTTCATGATGGAAAATGTTTGTTCACATATGTAAGTGCTTCCAAAAATGCTGAACGTTTTCAGTGCAACTTCAATAAGATTCTTGTATTTTTCATCGTCCAGACTTTTGTAGAAGTCCCACAGGCTGCTTTCTCTGTGCTTATTTCGGTAAACTGCCGAACATTGAAGTTCAATAACCTCCAACTGCAAATCTTGTGGCACTTCCTCTGGATCCACAGAAAAGGAATCTTCAATCAGCTTCAACTGGATGTCATCATCTTTAGACAAAGTAAGTCTTCTGTC